AAGACATAAAAGAAATGGCAAAATACACCATCAAGAGAAGGCAACCGGTATCTGCAGCACAAATCTGCTTATAACCCTCTCAAAACTGCTCTTCGTCAAGTCTTTGGTAACTGGTTTTCACCTTCCCAGATAGATTTGTTCAGCAACTCTACTTTGCATTTCTTTAATGTTTCTTTCAGGAGAGGTTTTTAGAAGCACCTGGAATACGTCAGACCTGGAGAAGAAAGTAACTGACTGTGTTTTAATTCTCCACTTTGTAAGCAAAGTCCTAGATTCACAGAACAAGTGCTTGCAAAGGACATCTATCAATTTAGGAGATTAGCAAAGCTTGTTTACAGAAAACCTGCAAAGATCAAAATCACAGAAAAACAAATCTTTCCCTGTGTTGTCATGAGTATAAAAAAAAGGATGGAAAATGTTTTTAAAATTCCAGATTCTTGCCATTTTAGATCATAGAATCAATTGGGTTGGAAGAGACCTCAAAGATCACTGAGATGGTCAGTAACTCAGTAATTTTCTGAATTCTCTTCACAATGGAACTAGTTAAGTTTCCCTTAGTAGTTGCACTTGCTTAGCATCCCTGTGTATAACTTCCAAACCTTTAGGGACTGTATTTGTTTCGGCACTGCTCCAAAGCTGCTCCTCACCATGCTGGATGCTGCATGTGATTAACAAAATATGAAGCCACATCCTGGAGATCTCCTATCAATTAAGACAGCGGATGGGCTGTACAAGCAGAGTAACTGGGAAGGTTAGCAGAACTGCACCCTGGACAGCTCTATGTGTATTCAAAAACAACCGAAAATGACCTCTCCAATTTATTGCTGATGGGTTTTGGTGTTTTGTGTTGGTTTTTCTTTTTGGTTTTTTTTTTTTTTTAATGGTGGTTTCGCTTTTATCTTATTGACCTAAGAACTGAGACATCTGAATTCAACTTTTCCCTCTGCAACATTAGGAAAATAAGGAATTTTTTTGTTTCTTCATTCCCTAGGTGTAAAAAATGGGAAAGGTAGTATTTCCAAATCTGGCAGAGGCATTATCCATCAGAGCATTTAGCTCAGCTGCACAGGACTCATCCCTGTATACTCCTCCCTCTCTCCTTTACTATAGCACAGAACAGAGAGACAATAGTTTCTTGACATCTTTCCCCCACCCTCCATCTACATTCGGAAGCTCAGACAGAATCTCTTACTAAGTTTTACATTTATCTCTTTATCCTTTGCTTTCTGACTATCCCTTGGTGCCCAGATACAATTCTGGTGGCAATTAAAGCAAATTGCAGCACACAACTTCGAATTATAGTTGATAAAAATCTGGCACCTCACCTGCCACACTAGGGCTGAACACCTTCCCCTGAGGAAGCTGCAGCTATGTTAAAAGGAGCTCCAAATACCAAGATAGGAAATTCCGCAGGAACTATTATTAGCTCCTGTTTATACTGTCATTTTTCTTATCAGTAGGAGATTATTTATACAGAGCCCAACCCAAGTGCTTCTTGTTTATCTTGTTACAGACACCATTAAAAAAGTTTCTATAAAAAGCAGCTCCTGTTTTTAGGACCAGCACTAATAAGTGTTATGCTAAGTTTTTGCTTCTTATCAATCATTCCTTTATTTTCAAGTCACCATTTAATACCCTGTTACTATTTTCCAACCTACTCTCTCCTCTCAGTACACCAAGCACCCCTGGAGAATGACTTCCAGGGTTAATTTTTCCTGGCAGATTCATTATCTAAGTGACTTTTAAAGTTTCTGGTAATTTTATAAAGTCTAAGAGAGCCTAAAAAATTGTTCTACTGCAACAGCTAACTTTAACCTTCTGCCCTGTGTTCCTCTCTCACGCATTCTCCCTCTCCATCACTTCACTTGTGCTACAGCAGAAAAAGCAAAAGGAAAAGCTGTTTACTGATACAGACCTGCTCAGTAGGACTGTAGCTGGTGTAGGAATGTGGATTCTCTAAGTGCTTTGCAATATTAGAATTAAGATGTGAAAAAGGAGAACTATATTTCTGAATGAAATCCTAAGTGGTTTGAAGAATTAGCAGAATAAGGTAAAATGGAAGTTTCAAAGGGCTGAAGTTGCAGTAGAGGTTTCTGCACCACACATTACAGAATGGGGATAAATACAGTTGTAACACACACTCTCTGATGAGCTAATTAATGATCTGCAATCTGAAGACACACAAATACATTGGTTTAGCTCACATTTCTCACCTGTATATCCAATCTGGCCAACTTCAAACCCAGCCATAAGTAAGGAAGCCAAGTTTTAGGTTCCTGAAGGTCTAATACCACTCCTCAGATGCACTACTGGACCTTCACCCTCTCCGTGCCATTCTCCCCTCACATTATACACTGAGAATATTTTAGAGTAGTAAAGAAATTGGTAGAGATTGAAAGGAGGAAGTTGTCAGCAGGAGCAGCCAAGCCAAGCCACTCTCCTCCTGGACAGAGCCAGCCATAAATTTTGCATTTCTTTCTTGCCTCTTCCTGGGGCAGAAGAGATGCACACTAAAAGCTAATTTATCTACTTTCATCTTGTATAAGTAACTGTTTACAAAACAGCTTTACCACTAATACTAAGCCTGTAAATACTGAGATGGTACATTTGGGATCATATATTCCGCAAAGCATTGCCTCTGTCTATACAAACCGTTTTTTTACTGAACCAAAAGTGGTTTCCAAGCATTCCTTGGGAGTATCTGAACGGCAAGGGATGTTGGAGACATCTGAGGAATACACAAGTCAACTAGCACTCATCAGGCCTAAGACAATCTGGAAGTGAGAGCCCTGGGACACTTGCTCTCTGCTCTGCATCTCTGCCCTGAGCTATTTCAGTCACTCCTCACCACACTGTGCTTTTGAGAGGAAGCTGATGTTTCTCCCTGGTAGTGCTGAGCACACTCTTTAATCTGGTCCTTTCAAACATCTTTCTGAGACTGACTATTTCTTTCAGATAAGCCATAACTATGTACTTAGTAGTGGCACGTAAGTACTACACATCTGCTTGCACAGGGCTGAGGGCTATATTTAAAAGGAATCAGCTCCCACAGACCTTCCCACCAAGCACATGGAGGATGACACAGATCAGCTGCAAAGATCTACCTGGTTTCCCATTGATTTGGCTTGAAAAGAAGGTAATTACACAGCACCATCAGCTCAGTCCTTGTTCTGTACCACTGACTGCCTCAGGAGACATCTTGTAATATTTCTCTGATCACTGTTGAGCACTTTCTGGATTCCCCTCATGTTAGGCAGGAGGGTTGAGTGGGCTGGGTGTGAAATTTAGTCAACCATGTCTGAAGTGGATGGTGCCATTTACTCACAGGAGGAAACAATGAGAGCTCCCAAAGGCTAAACACCAAGTTCATGCCAATTGAAATCCAAGAAAGTAGGTTGAGAAGCAAAGGAGCATTTTTCCCCTCTGTGCATTACTTCTCTTGCAAGGGAAGCTAGTCTGACTTGCTGGTAGACATAAAGGATGTTATAGAGAGGTTAATTCAGAGGTGGGTTATTCCAGGACTGTACTGAGGAAGAAAAGGAGGAGACCAACACACTAACACCCAAAATTTCAGAGCTGAGGTACAGTTTAAGCACCCAGACTTAGCATTTAATTTTTGAAGTACTAGTGCTAACATCTGATAGAGCTAATAATGTCCCTTACATTTACACCAATTGCCGATCCCAGGATTTTCCAGATGAAACTGAAACCAGGAAAGGACAAGTAATTTTGGCCAAGATCACAGAGAAGAGTTGGACATGTGGAAGGAATTCCAGGCTCCGTAGCTCAAGCACCTGTTTCTGTCTTCCTACCTGAACCGTCAGCATGTCTGCAAACCCAAAGCTACCAGACAGGTGGGTTCCTGGAACATTTCAAATACTGGAAATATCATAAAAGAACAACTTCCCTCCTGCTGGTTTGGCTTTTCCAGTCATCAAGGAACCTTCAGATTATCTATTTCAAGCTCTTTATTCAAGCCTGGGTTAAAAAATTTAATAAATGTTAGAGGTGTGACATGGGACTAAGCTACCTGGATTTTGTTATCAAGCCTTCATCCTAAGACATAAAGGGGGTGGAGCATGTCCTAGGAAGGGAAGGAAGCTGGAAAAGGGGCTGGAGCAGCAGGAGCAGCTGAGGGAGCTGTGGGGGCTCATCCTGGAGGAAAGGAGGTTCAGAGGAACCTTCTGCTCTCTGCAACTCCTTGACAGGAGGTGCAGCCAGGTGAGGTCAGGCTCTGCTCCCAAGGAACAAGGGACAGGATGAGAGGGAACAGCCTCAAGCTGTGCCAGGGAAAGTTCAGGCTGGATATTGGGAACAGCTCCTCCACTGAAAGGGTTGTCCAGCCCTGGCACAGGCTGCCCAGGGCAGGGGTAGAGTCACCATCCTTGGAGGGAATTTAAAGCTGTGTGGATGTGGCACTTGGGGACATGGTTAGTGGCAGCCTTGGCAGTGCTGGGGGAATAGTTGGACTCGTTCTTGGAGGGCTTTTCCAGCCTAAATGATTCTGGGATTCTAAAGATACTATACCAGCTCTTCTGCTCCAGACAAGTCTCTAAAGGACAATTAATAGCACTTCACCCATGGAGGAGCAGTAAGACGTCACTACTCTTTGTGCAAAGCTCTGGAAACACCCAAGGAAGAAGTGCTACCACTGCAGTGTGTTCAGAGAGTGTGTGACAGAGAGAAGGCTCAGGGCAGAGGCCACAAAGAGAATTACTGCTCCTTCTAGGTAAAATCTGAGCTACTCTAGTCATCCCCTCAACCTCCCACCTCATTTTCACTAATTGTGACTCAAAGACAAGTGATGCACAAAACCTCCAACTCTCAGAATCTGACTCCTGGATGAAGTGACAGCAGCTATAGCTGTGTTTCCTGACTATTCATATACTTTTCATAACATAAATATACATTTTATCTCTCTCTCTCTACACACAGAGATGCAGATACATATCTATTTGCTGCACTCAACAAACAATTTAAGAATTAAGGAAAACTGTTTTCATTTTAAGATAAGAACTTTGGGCTTATTTTAATGCTGCAAAATAAAATCTGCTAGCACAAGCCACAGGGGAAAAAAAAAAGAAAAAAAAGAAAAAGTGATTCACTGGGGAAGTTCCATGATGTGCAGGACAATGGGTCTTAAATCAAAGGCATACATTATCATGACTAAGCTGACAGATCTGCACTGCAATGCAGAAAGCCAAGCAATATTCCAACATCTGCACTGTGCTCAGAGAGGCAGTTAGACACAGTTTCCCAAAATGAAGAAAGGACTCCCCGAGCTCTTACCTGTTACCTGTGCAACAACTGCTTGGGAAATTCTCCGATTGGCTAGGAAGGCTTTGATTTCCTCCTTTATCACACTGCTGTCCCTCCTACCAAAACAAACAACAGAACACACAAAAAGAGGGACAGACCAAAGTGCACTTTGAAGATGGAAAACGGCTTTAGTTTCTCTGTTTAGGGGACAAGGAGTGGGGAAGGTTGGCATTAAAATAGTCCAAGTGCCTCACCGGTGGACACTTCTTTTAACAAGTGTCACGTTTGATCAAAGTACCTTAGCAGGAGAATGGATGACTCATGTCCTATATAATTCATATTAGGTGCAGCACTGCCATATGGAATGTACGAAGTTTCATTACACAGGGATGAATAAATCTCTCATACCAGCATAAAAACCTCACCCATAAAAACAAGGCACAAAAATAAAAACTAAAGGCTAGCAGGGGCTGATGGTTACTTACCCAATGAACATACACACACAAACCTCCTCCAGCCTTTCAAGGAAAAGGCACAAGGGAGAAAATATTTTACAACCTCTGTCCCCCCACCTCTTCTTCCTTAGCTCACAGCTTGCACTGAATGAAGTCTTTGTGTGATTTTTACAATGTGTGCACAGATAGTTCAGAGGGGCTAAAACTGCTAAAAAGAAAACAATTTGGAGGTTGCACAGACTCCTCTTCCTCCCTCCCTTCCTGAGAAGGGCAGACAATTCCTTTACTAGGCTTTACTATTTGATCATATTTGATCTCCCCTCCTGCCCCACCAGCATTCAAAACAGATCCAAGCTTGCAAATGTAAATGCAAATAAATGTTATGTTGGGGGTTCAGTTTTACTTCTGTACCCAACACTCATCTTCCTTGTGTCTGTGAATAAAAGTGATTTCAGTTTAAATAAGCACTAAAAGCATTACCTGAGACTTACTGCACAGGAACCCAAAACTCAAAAGGAATGATTAAACCTCAGCCATGGGAACTTGGCATACTGCTGTACTCACCACCACCCACTCTGCAGCCAACAGTAAACGAGGCTGATCAGCTTTTCCTGCTGCTCATCTCTAATCCTTTCCCCTGAAAGCCACACCTTTCTCTGAAATCTCCAAACTGCTTCAAGCATATTTCCACCCTGGAGCTTTTGGACCCTAGTTCTCTCATAGGTACCTTGTGAATGTTGCAATTTTTGGAGAAAAAAAAAGACATTCCAACATTATGACCAAAATTGTTTTGTGACATTTGGCCTTTCCTCTTATTTCTTTTTGCTCTCAAGGCCACTGACTCTGACTTTCATCCTCAGGAGTATAATCCCCTCCTTTCATCTTTGCCATAATGCTGAGAAGGAAGCTGCTAGAAGTAAAGGAAGGTCAGGCTGGGGAAAAAAACCCAACTGGCTCTCACTGAAGACTTCTGCTTCATTATTTGTATTTTCTTATACCATTCTGCAGCCTGTGCAAATCCCAGGGAGAGTCAACCCCTGCCACAAACTATGAACAGATAACAAACATGCTCTGCAGATTCCAGTGGAAAGCATTAATCATTCCAAGTAGGATTCCCTACTCCCTCTAAATATGGAGGAATTACAATGGATATGAAGTAGTGGAGGAAGAGTCATGTGAACTGACACTAGGTCAGAATCCTTCTGAATAAAGGTGAGGTGGAACATGAATGCTCTAACATCAATCCCAGCTTTTGATACAGCATGGGAAAAACTATTTCAACAGTCAAACCGACTGTGGGATACCTACACAGGGCCAGGGGCTGCCTACACAAGGCTGAGAGGTAGGTGAGAGGTTCTGAAATAGTGACCACTGGGGAACTAGCAGGGAACAGCTGCCTAAAGAAGCTCCTGCTCTCATGATAATCATCACAGAATCCTGACAGAATGGTCTGGGTTGGAATGGACCTTTAAAGGCCATCTAGTCCAACCCCCTGTAATGATCAGGCACATCTTCAACTAGATCATGCAGCTGAGAGCCCCATCCAACCTGACCTTGAATGTTTCCAGGGATGGAGCATCCACCACCTCTCCAGGCAACCTGTACCCGTGTCTTACCACCCCATAATCCCTATCACTCCTACAGCAGTCCTCCAACACACATTTCTTCTGAAACACTTCTCCTCAAACTTTTTACAAAGACTTCTACTAACCTCATCAGTTCCTCCACTTTGTCATCAATGTCCAAGTCCTCTTCAGAAGCTTCAAAGCTGTAGGACCTCTGAGCCAAGCTGTTTGCCAGCGGGTAGCGGGTGGGCGACATCTTCCCATTGAATGCAGACAACCTCTCGTTACTCTCCCTCCCATTCTGATTAGTAGTGCAAGGCTGTGGGGAGGTGTCGTAACTGTTGCTCGGTGATGGGGACATCCCAGAGTGTTGGGTCTGTGTTGAAGCTGTGGCTGTAGAGGAAGATGCTGGGACATTGTTGGTACTGTTGCTGTAGGAACCACCTCCATAGCTAGACCTTCTTCCAAACTTGTCACTATGCTCTTGATCAAGACGATCCAAGGTTTCCAGCGCGTGGAGGATTTCATGCCTGGTCATTCCCGTTCGTCTGAGGCGCTGAAGCAGGTCTATCTGCTCTATGGTAAATCTTGGTTCGTCTGTGTAGTGAGACATGGTTTCCAGCAGACTGAAAATAAGGCAAAATGTAAAAGCAAATCAGGTCAACAGTTCTCTGTGGCACATGGAAAGTACCTCACACGGGTAGCTTACAAGAAACCTTCCAGCATCTGAAGGGGCCTACAAGGAAGCTGGAGAGGGACTCTTTGTTAGAAACTGAAGTGACAGGACAAGGAGCAATGAGTATAAATTGAAAGAAGGGAAATTTAGAATAGATATGAGGAAGTTTTTTACTGTTAGGGTGGTGAGACACCAGAACAGGTTGCCCCGGGAGGTTGTGGATGCCCCAACCCTGGCAGCGTTCAAAGCCAGATTGGATAAAGCCTTGAGCAATCTGGTCTGGTGGGAGGTGTCCCTGCCCAGGGCAGGGGGTTGGGACTAGATGATCTTGAAGGTCGATTCCAACACCTTAACATTCTATGATACATGCAGGAAAGGTCCATTCTGGTCCAGAACTGTAAGTCACACACATGTCAGAGCTGACAGCCCAACAGATCACCTCCAAACAAGCCCAGAAGGCAACTTCTCACCAATGTCAGTCTCACTACACAGCAGAAGAACTTATTTGCTCTGGAGTGCTCGAACAGCATTTCTCTATTCTACTGGCATTTCCTACACCCACACTAACCCTGCAGTTAGTACCCTTTGGCTTTTGATAAACCACTGCTACAGGGACAGAGGTTGCTCAGTAATTAAGGCTGAACCTTGATTTCAGACAAAATTTTATCCAGTGCTGAGTATCCACCAGACAGAATTCCCAGACTCCAAAACTGTTAGGTCGAGGCCAGAGGGTGAGTTTTTCTGGAGACGTTTTAACCAGTTACGACACGAGATTCATGAATCTCAACTCTTTTGAATCTTAAGTACAAAGAGTTGAAGTTGCCCTAACTTTTGTTGTTACCTTCAAAAAAAGAAGATAAAAACAGAGCTAGCGGAAATTCTAGTGGCCTGTAGGACCCAAGTTGATTTGACTGAAGTTCCATTTCTGAACCTGCATTTCTGAAGTTGAGAACTCTTGAACCTGGAATGTTGTCATAGATCTCCTGCCCTGACAAGGAAAGTGCAGCACATCCAATTACTCCTGAGCTTTCATTTAAAGGAATAAGTCTTCAGCCTTTTCTCCTCCAAAGGGAACCTTCTCATGTAATTCAATCATCACGGTGGCTCATCGAAAGCATTTTTAACTCCTGAACTTCCCAGGGTGCCACAACAATGAATGTGTATTTGCTGCAAAGCTCAGAAATGGAACTGAAAAAAAAAATCACAATATGCTACCTAAATCTCTTTTCCTTCTCCTTGCAATAGATCCAAATTTCACACAAATTACAAGATCACCTCCTTCAGAACACTAGATCTTGAGAAGAAGGGATGGCAGATGGAGGGCAGGCAGAACTTGGCAAGGAGAACAAGGCATTTTCCATCCTTCTCGTGAATCTTCTTATGAGTCAAGGGTTTATTACAATTCCTGCAGGAGAGCAGGGTGAAGAGATCACTCAAACTCCAGGAGACATGACAGAGCTAATGTACAATCCCTACAAGCCAGAACAATGCAGCCTCAGGAAAGTCAAGTTAAGAATCCCAAGGACCCTGTGAAAGCCAAAAGAAGGATGATGGCTGTCAAACTTATGCTAGACCTTCGAGAGACAGGGCTGACTATGCCTCCCCACAGATTTTGAAGATGACTTCTCATATCCATTTCTGCTCTGGCACAGAGAAGTTCCCAACAGTAGTCATAGGCTGACTAGAGATCTGTAGTACGGAGGTGACTAAGTGGCTTTGGGACTGAAGAACACCAAGAACTGACTTGCTTAGCAGAGCTGGAGCTAGACTGTAGCTGCACAGACAAGGCGCTCCAAAGTCAGGATGCACAAATCCACAAAAATGGCATCTGCAGCCTGGGAAATACAGAAGCGAGAAGCTGTCCCTATCCTTGCCCTCATCAAGCAACTACCGAGTCTCTTTCCTTGTTTCAACAGTGTATACGCGGGAGAAGGAAGCAGAACAAGGAGAGGGGATGACTCCCATCCAAGAAAATGACTCTGTGAGAAGACAGACAGATTACAGCCACATAAGTGCTTCAGTCCAACAGGAATATGCTGTCCTCTGGACAATTGATTGCTGAAAATGTACAAGGCCTTTAAAATTCCACAAGACAAGCACCCAGATTATTCCACTAAAAGGAGGGCACGGCAGGCAATGCGGCAGCAGACTAACAACTGACTGGAATTGTAACAGCTGAAATTTGGAAGTCACATCTCAGACTGAGCCGTTCCGAGCTTGACAAGGAGCATTTGGAAACAGACATTGTGTTCTAGGTTTGGCCTCTGCGTTGGGGGAGGAAGGGCTGCTTGACCCTTTTCTCCAAGCTTTGGGAAAAGTGTCACACTGACTCACCACTGCCTGCAAGGCCCCTGTGACAGCTCCAACTAGCACAGTTTTCAAATAGAAAATCTCTTTACACATCTGGTCTTGAGGTGGTTTTCACTAGATATGCCAACTCGTCTTTCCTTAGAGATAACCCTGGTTTGGGTATTTCTTACCTGTATTTCTAACGTCACCATTTCCTGGATCATTTACCTGTCAACACCAAGTTTCATGTGCTGAAGTGCTTTGTTGAACTGGAGAATTTAATGAATCAGAACCTCCAGTCCAGAATTACCTGTACTCAAAATTCCTACTTGACCGACTCTTCAATGTTTAATGCCAGAAAATAATTCATTTATTTAGTTTAATCTCCCATTTGCCACAGATCTAGAAACTCAAAACTTTTGTACTTCTAGCCCCATGAACCAAAACTTCACATCTGAAAACCTTGACTTTCCAGGCGGCTTCAAAAATATCCGGCAACACAGAGCTTATTTCATAGAATCACAGGGTCATAGAACGGTTTGGATTGAAGAGACCTTAAAGACAATCTAGTTCCAACCCCCTGCTATGAGCAGGGACACCTTCCACTACCCCAGGTTGCTCTGAACCCCATCCAACCTGGCTGTGAACACTTCTAGGGATGGGGCAGCCACAGCCTCTCTGGGCAACCTGTGCCAGTGGCACATCACCCTCCTGCAGCAGTTGGTGGCCATGGCCAGTGATTCTCTTTAAAATGTGGGTGTGATTCCTAATTTGTCTCAAGTGCCAGGGCTCAGCTTCTAGATCTGAGTTCTCAGGCCAAATTAATCTCCTTTAGTGAATTACACATAATCATTTAGTGAATCCTAAGTATCCTTTAGTGAATTACAGCTAATGAACTGCAGTGTTCTCAGATGCGAGAGCAGTGGTTGACCTTCTGTTGCACAGGGCTCTGTGTGGGAAAGTGCTCTGGCCTCAATTTGTCCCACTTTGATGCAGCAGAGACTGCTGGGCATGTGCAGGAATTTCAATTCACAGAGATGCAAAGGCTGCTGGACAAGGCCATCCTCTGCCCCAAGTATGAGATATTCAATGATTTCACAGAATTGGTCAGGTTGGAGGGGACTACAGTAGGTCATCTGGTCCAATTTCCCTGCTCAAGCAGGGCCATCCCAGAGCACACAGCACAGGATTGCATCCAGACAGTTCTGGAATACCTCCAGTGAGGGACACTCCACACCCTCCCTGGGCAACCTGTTTCAGCGCTCGGTCACTGCACAGCAAGTAAGTTCTTCCTCAAGTTCAGCTGGAACTCCTGGGCATCAGTTTCTGCCTGTTGCCTTTTAACACAATCCCCAGAAAAACTTCAGCAATTTGAAAAAAAACCAACCTAAAAATCAATGATTTGTCTGTCTGTCCATGCAAAGGATTCTTCCAGTCCTCCATCCATTTTAGATAACTTCTGGGTAGTTTTTCCAATGTTTAAAAGATAAGGACAGCAAAATCAGAGTATCTCCCTGCTGGTCTCACTAATGTCATATACACATGTCCAAACTGCATTGGTTATACTTCCATACTCAGTGTATATTGCATCTGGCATACTCATTGGTCTACTTGATTTGGAACTCCTAATCACATCTTCACATGCTTTTCTACACAACCATGAGATGCAGAAATAATGCTTCTGAGAGAGTTTTGTGTATTGAAAGCAACTGCAGAAACTTGGAATTTTCCATTAAAATCTCCAAACAAATATTGCAAAACATGGTATTATTGAACAAGTTCCAACATTGCCAACTATCTCCAACTTTTTAATGAATAACTACAGCAACATTATTTAGAACTGTTACTCCACTTCAGTTATTTTCCCTTTTAAAAATATTTTAATAAACTTACCCTGTTTAAAGATCAATTTACAAAGCAGTTAAGTAAATCAGCCATTTTAGAATCATCATAATTTCATTCACCTCATTAATGAATGGATATTCTCCACCAGTTCATCCCCCCACACTGCTGTAAGAGCCTCTTATCCTCCTGCACTCCTCTGGCTACCTGTAATTTAATTTGCTTCACTTCACCCTCTTTTCCTTGTGAAATACAATCAACTGCAAAAGGAACAAGAACTAAAAGAATATAGGGACAAGCAGAATGATTGGAAGGTGCAGGAGAAAATAAAGATGGCAAATACTTTTCCTGACAACACAGACCATGGACCAACTTCTTTGCTGTAGGCAAACTTTGCTGCCAGTGTAGCAAAATCTTCACTACACTAGTAGAGCTTAGTGTATAATCACGTTTTATCTGCTGATCAATTAGCAAAAGCCTCACTAGTCACAATGGGCTGTCAAATTTCCTTGGGGAGACACCTGAAAAAGAGAGGCAATCAAGGAAGGCCATGCATTTTTCTCCCTGAAGTTTTGCAAGCAAGACCTCTGCAAAGTACTAATTCAGCTCACAACTAAAATTGACCAATTCTTTAACAACTGAATCTTGCCCTTAAAATGAAGTTGATTTATGTCCTGACAGAAAAAACAGAAGTAGTCTAAAGTATCAAACTTATTTACATTCCTTACATTAAGTTGGCAGTCACACCCTGAGGAAGATGGTCCAATTCCACTCAGTGTCTCTTGCCAGCTCTAAAGCATGAAAGCATGTATCTCCAGT